AATTATGCATATATTGCAAGTTTAAGAAGCATTTGCAATCAGATGATAGCAAACTTGAAACATTCGGATTAACTCAAAGCACAATAACTAATGAATATATGTTGGTATTTAATTACGTAAGAAATATAATCTATGGAATATGTACATACTGTAACCAACACAATACATCAAAAGCCTGGTGTCAATCATGCGATCCTTATAGAACAATTCAAGGGTGGAAAAGTGGAAATAAAGATATTGATAATTGTATTAAAGAGCTTCAATTTAAATCTACTAAATATGAAAAAACGATTGAATGGATTCCTTTTAACAGATTAAATAATATTCAAAGTATTAGTGAAAGCGAATTTGGTTCAACACTTTTAGCAACCTGGTTAGATGGTAAACGAATAATTTCGGGTGAATATAGAGAATACACAAAATCACGTACGGCAACATATAAAGTTATGCTTAAGGTTTATCCTGGTTCACAGGATTCTTTAGATTTTTTAAAAGAGGTATGATAATTTATTATATATTATATAACTTTTATTGCTTAAGTTAATATTTATTTATGTAAATTATGCAAATATTGCAAGTTTAAGATGCATTTGCAATCAGATGATAGCAAACTTGAAACATTCGGATTAACTCAAAGCACAGTAACTAATGAATATATGTTGGTATTTAATGAAATTTATACAAGAAAAATTAATTATAGAAAATGTTCATATTGTAACCAATACAATACATCAAAAGCCTGGTGTCAATCATGCGATCCTTATAAAATAATTCAAGGGTGGACAAGTGGAAATAAAAATATTGACAATTGTATAAAAGAATTTCAATTCAAGTCAACAAAATATGAGAATGTAATTGAATGGATTCCTTTTGACAAATTAAATAATATTAAAAGCATTAGTGATAATGAATTTGGTTCAACATTTTTAGCAACCTGGTTAGATGGTAAACGAATAATTTCATATGGAGGCACAAAGTCACGTACGGCAACATATACAGTTATGCTTAAGATTTATCCTGGTTCACAGGATTCTTTAGAATTTTTAAAAGAAGTATTGTATGCAAGTTATTTATTGTGTATTTTACGTTTTTGCTAAATTACCGTTTACTTATATATTTAAAATACTTTTATTATTAGTTTAAAAAATATTTACAATCAGATGATAGCAAACTTGAAGTATATGGATTAACACAAAACACAACTAACGAATTTATGTTAGTACTAAATGCATTTAAATCCGAAAGAAATATGCAACATGGAAATTGTATATACTGTAACCAATACAATACATCAAAAGCCTGGTGCCAAACATGCGACCCTTATAAAACAATTCAAGGGTTGATGATTGCATTAAAGAATTTCAATTCAAGTCAACAAAATATGAAACAGTGATTGAATGGATTCCTTTTAATAGATTAGATAATTTTCAAAGAATTAGTGAAGGCGGATTTGGTTCCGTATTTTCAGCAATCTGGCTAGATGGTATACGGTCATTTTCGATTTCAGAAACAAAATCCCGTATACCCTCATATAGAGTTGAACTCAATATTTTACCTGGCTCTCAGAATTCATCTGATTTTTTAAAAGAAGTAAGCAAAATTTTTTAATATTATATGTTAATTCACGTTTAAAGTCTATTAATACAATATATTTTCTTTACAAGTTTAAAAAGCAAATTAATATTGGAATTAATGCAATTAAAATATATGGAATAACATATAATACTTACAATAATAACTATATGATTGTGACCGAAAGTACAATTAATAACGAAGATAATGATACATTTGCATCTAAACGAAATTATTTTTATGGAAAATGTATAAAATGTAATCGGTTTAATACTTCAAAAGACTGGTGTCAGTCATGCAATCCTTATATAATTACTCAAAAATGGACAAGTGGGAATAAAGAAATTGATGATTGTATTAAAAAATTTCAACTTAATGCTACTGAACATGAGAAAGCAGTTGAATGGATCCCTTTTAATAAATTAAAGGATATAAAAGAGATTGGTAAAGGAGGATTCGGCACTGTTTTTTCGGCTAATTGGGAACAAACAAGCGAAAATCAATATCAACGTTCAAATAAACAATCTGTCAAGGTTGCGCTCAAGACATTACCAGGATCTCACATGAATTCTAATGATTTTTTAAAAGAAGTAAGTTAAACTATAGTAATTATCTATTTTATATTGTATTAGTAAATCAAGTTTCTTAATTTTTTCAGTTTGAAAGCCATATGAATTGCAGATTAAGTGGCAGTAGACTCGTGGTATATGGACTAACCCAAAATATAGAAACAAAAGAATATATGATGGTGCTTCAATATGCTAATAAAGGAAACCTTCATAAATATCTGAAGATTAATTTTCATGAACTTATTTGGGAAGATAAATTATCTTTATTAATTGATATATTAAAAGACTTAATTAAAATTCACAAAACTGGATACATTCATTGTGATCTTCATTGTGGTAATATTTTACAACATAAAGAAGAATCATGGCTTGGATCATTAAAATCTTACATTGCAGATTTAGGGTTATCTCGAAAGAATGAGGAATTAACATCAAAGAAAGGAATATATGGAATAATACCGTATACAGCACCTGAAGTTTTATTAGGTAAAGAATATACTCAAGCAGCTGATATATACAGTCTTGGCGTTATTATGGCTGAGATGACTACTGGAATACCTCCGTTTCATCGACATCTATTTGATACAGACCTTGCATTAGAAATTTGCAAAGGATTGAGGCCTGACTTTGCATCAAAAACTCCTATTTGCTATATTGAATTAGCAAAATTATGCATGCATTTTGATTCACAAAATCGACCTACTGCTGAAACTATTCTTCACAAGCTTTTCGAATGGCATAACCATATATGTCAACAAGATAAATTTGATGAATTTGAAGAAGATATTGATGAGCTTGGTGAATTTGATGAATCAGAAGACATTGACGACTTTGTTGAATCTGATGAAAAATTCAAAACAATTAGAGAATTTAGAGAGGCTGATATGATGATTCCTGAATTATCTATTGCATTGAAAGAATGCCCTGATGTAATATACACCAGTAAATTTATCAATACACATGAAATTTCACAACGTTTCGAGGAAAAAAGCGACCCGTTTAACATATCCGGTAATATCTCATATCAAAATAATTTTTAAAATTATTATATTTATTATATTGCATTATATTAATCCTAACCAATATAGTTAGTGCCTTTAATGATTTAAAAATTCCGGATTCGATGTATGTGAATATTTACAATTTGTTTACCGCAATTGATTTATAGCAATATTATTATTAATTTTTATTTTTATTTTTGTTTTTTTAGTTGAAACAAATAAAACGAGATCCGTTTGTCCCAATATGACGTTTAAACACACAGGATCGAAAATTTAACTTTACTTTGTCTTGTTGTCATGCTATATTACAATATAAATTCAGGTTTTAAAGTTACGTTCCAATGAGGATATAAAATATAGCTAATTTTATGTAATAAATATAAAATAAATTTAGTTACTAAACGAATTGTTGAACCAATTAATACAAAGTGAATGCCTCATATAAAATAATTTTACAAAATAGAATTTTGAAGGTTATAAGCATTATTGTAATTGATTGCATCGACAGACACAATCAGGACACAATATCAGGTGTAATGTGAAATAACGCTTTTTTTGGAATACGTATCAGGCCCTTTGTTAATTCTAACCTTAACACTAAGGTTTTTACGCTTTAAATCTTTCGCTTTATTCAATTGTTTTTATTTTCACTTTTAACGACTGTTTGGAATGATGTGATTATTGAACATCAGAACAAATAATCACCAAGAAACTTATTAATGCAGCTTATCTTAATATATTGATGACATCAGAACCATAATATACGAATTTTGTTAATAGAATTTCAATTAGACATGATTGATGTCTTCTCTTTATTATTTTCTGTAATTGGGACTCGTTATAATAGCGATTAGATTATAATAAGGATTTATTCAAAATAATCTAGCGACAACTAATCTTAAATTTATTTTCTATCAGGGAAATATCAAATATATGTTTTTTGTTTTTCTCCTGCTTATCTCGTAGCTTAGCATTAATCAGAAATATTATTTTATGTAGATTTCTTTTCTCGCTTACACAATCTTTTTGCAACTTTAATCCAATATTTTTGATTACGAAACTTTTAAAATTAGATTATTAAAGAATGTTCACTAAATAAAATTTTCAAACGTTTTTATTTCATGTTTTAAGAAAAGGTATTTTAAAGCAACAAGATCTTGGATAGAAATAAATATTTAATCCATTGTTCAAAATGAACATTAACATTGAAAGTGGAAGTTTTAAATTTATAAGTAAGATGTTTTTAGATTTATATATTTATAAATATAATAAAATATTGCAAATGATAATAACTATTGTATATTTAAAAGGAAAATACATCTTTATAACCAGTAATTATACTGTACGTATTAGTTTTAACCATGCAAAGAACATACTATCAAAAAAAATCCCTCAAAAAAATAATATAATAAATTAATTGATTGAAATCTTCTATAAGTAAAATAAATATCGTGCTTCTCGGATCATATTTTTCTATTATAATTATTTTGATTATTTAAACGAAAGGAACAAGTTTCATTTTTGATTCTATTGATATTATTTTGGATAAATATTCTCGTTTTCGATGCGTTTCTTCAAAGCTAGGACATAGGTTGTCTGTGGGTCATAAGGTGGATGTGCTAAAGTGAGAGATATGAAAGCGATGACCAAAAAAACAATTGAAGCAGGTTTCATTTTGTGTATAGACTGAAGTAAAAATTTTAAATATCGTATTGAGAATAGGTAAAAGAAGGGTTCTTTAACGGTTAGCCAAGCAATAAAATTGTTTCCTTATTATTATATTTGCTAAGTATTACTACGTTAATTAATGAAATACAGAATTATTGCCCTTTCCTGATTAGTATTAGTCTTAAACATTTTGTACTTCTTAATTATGTAACATTTGTAATTCAAAAAAATTTTATTATTTTATTCACGTGATTACAAACACGTGTTAATCGTCAAGCTAAATTTTCGGTTACCAATAGAATTTCATGCATATCTTTAGAAAAATAAAAATTCTTAGAACTTTGAGCAAGATATCTCGATAACCACCTGATCTAATTCGATAAAAAAAATTTTCTTTAAATTCTACAGATTCGTAGGATTTAAATAAAAAAATTTTCATCAAATTTGGCCAGGTAGTTATTTTTGCACGAAGTCTTAAAAAAATTCAAACGTCTATAAAAAATCAGTCATGCCAAATTTTTTAAAACTTTAAAAGAAGATATCTCAACAACTATTTGATTAAATTTGATGAAACCTTTTATAATTTAATTCTACAGATTATTAAATTCAGATAAAAAGAAATTTCATCGAATTTGATCGGGTAGTTGTCGAGATATCTTTGCTTAAAGTTAGTAAATAATTCAAAACGTCTATTAAAATTAATCTGCGACAAAATTTTTTTAAAACTTCGAGCAAAGATATTTCGACAACTATCCGACCAAATTCGAAAATTATAAGAATCTGTAGAACTAAAATAAAAAAATTTTCATCGAATTTAATCAGGTAGTTATCGAGATGCTGAGTTGTTTATTAACTTTGAGCAAAGATAGCTCAACAACTACCTGATAAATTCGATGAAAATTTTTTTATTCTAATAATACAGATTCTTAAAATCCATATAAAAAAAAATTTCTTCGAATTTGGTCAGGTAGTTGTCGAGATATCTTTACTTAAAGTTTTAAAAAAAAATTTTCCCAGTTTAATTTTAATAGACGTTTTGGGCCAAATTTGATAATTAAAATAAAAAAGTTTTCATTAATTAGTCAAATAGTTGTCGAGATATCTTCGCTTAAAGTTTTAAGTATTACTATAATTTTCAAGACTTTGTGCAAAGATAACTCAACAAATACCTAGCCAAATTCGATGAATTTTTTTATTTGAATTCTATGAATCTGTAGAATTAAAAAAATTTATCAAAATCAATCAGGTGGTTATCGAGATATCTTTGCTCAAAGTTCAAAGAATTTTTATTTAGTCTAAAGATTTACAAAGACATGTATGAATTTCTTCTATACGTACCAAAAAATTCGTGCACAAAAATATGTAACAGGTCAGGTCTCTTAAGATCGTAAAATATATAAAAGCACAGGCTGTCTCATTTAATAAAAAAAGGAGCTAACGTCCTTCTTGATAAAGTAACATAAAACGATGATCTGCCTTTCCATTATTCCCAACTATCATTGATGCTTGAATCCCACCCGATGTTATCGCGCCCAAACCACGTTAACTATTGGAGCTAAACTGTGCAACGTTACCTGCTCTCCCAATCTACAACAGTAACAGTAGTATGCACTAAATTTCGAAGCAGAATTTTTTTTCGCTGCTTTAATACGTACTACATTACTAGTGTTACCAGCTAAAAATTCGCTTTGTTACACCTAAATTTAATTTTTGACCTGATAGCGAATTTTGTAACGCTAGGGCGGTTATTAATCACATCATCCAATTTCTAACTGAAAGATTTTGGATAAAATACCATTTGGCCTGGGTTAGACAATACTTCACTCCGTTTTAGTATACAAAAGTTTTTCACAATACGCTAGTATTAGAACAATGTTTAATACTTTTAAAAAAAAGCTTGGATTTTATAAAAGAGATTCAAAATATGGAATATGTCAATCTTGTAAGGGATATAATACTTCTTCAGCTTGGTGTCAAAAATGCGATCCTCATAGAGAAACTCAAGGTTGGGAAAGTGGAAATAAAGTTATTGACAATTATATAAAAAAATTTCAATTGAAGTCTTTAAAATATGAGAATGTAATTGAATGGATTCCTTTTAATAGATTAGAAAATATTCAAAACATTAGCCAAAGTGAATATCCTGAATTTGGCTCATTATTTTTAGCAACCTGGTTAGATGGTAAACGAATAATTTTAGATCAAGATGGAGAATACACAAAATCACGTATATCAACATATACAGTTATGTTTAAGTCTTTTCCTGATTCACAAAATTTTTTAAATGAAGTAAGTTAATTATTATTATCTTTTGTATTCTTTAAATTAATTCTTAAACAAATTATATCTATTTATTTTAAGTTAATAAATTACTTGCAATCAGATGACAACCAACTTGAAGTATACGGATTAACTCAAAGCTCAATAACTAATGAATATATGTTGGTATTTAATAAAATTTACGAACGAAATAAATACTACGGGGAATGTAAATACTGTAATCAATATAATACATCAGAAGCTTGGTGTCATTCATGCGATCCTTATAGAACAATCCAAGGGTGGACAAGTGGAAATAAATATATTGACAATTGTATTAAAGAATTTCAATTCAAGTCAACAAAATATGAGAATGTTATTGAATGGATTCCTTTTGACAAATTAGATAATATTAAAAGCATTAGTGATAATGAATTTGGTTCAATATTTTTAGCAACCTGGTTAGGTGGTAAACGAATAATTTCGGGTCAATATAGAGAATACACAAAGTCACGTACGGCAACATATACAGTTATGCTTAAGATTTATCCTGGTTCACAGGATTCTTTAGATTTTTTAA